AGGCTGAAGGAAGGGCCCCCCCAGGTACCCCCAACCTGGGCTCCCCACCGCCCTCTGCTCCCTCCCTGCGCCCTGCCCAGGCTGCTGCTGGTGCTGCTCCTCCAGCCTGCGCTGCCTTCTCCAGCCCACATGCCACAAGTCCTGGCACTCAGGAGGAAGATTTGGGCACCGAGGGCTCAGCACCAACTCACCCAGGCTGGATGGGGACGTCATGGTTGTGTCACCCCGCTCCCCGCAGCAGGGATGCCCAGAGCCCATCCTGGTGCCTGGGCTCAGTGGGGTAAAAACACCCAAGGCAGCTCCAAACACGGCTCAGGCCTCCGCTGCCCTGCGCCACTGCTCTTGCCACCCCCGCAGCCAGGAGGGAACCCTCCAACTCAGATGCTCCATGGTCACTTTGATGGCTAATTTTTCTCTCCCGGCCCTGCCGGCGCTTCAATAAATGCTTTGAAAGGGCTGACGTGCCTCCTTCCAGCCTCCCAAGTGCGGCTGTGCCTGTCTCCGGGTGGCTGTCCCCCTGCTCCATCCCCCAGCAGACAGGGTCCTCGAGGGCTGGGAACCGCGGACGCGTGCGGGAGGACAGTGGAAGCATGGAGGAGAGGAACCAAGATAGACGGGAAATGACATCCATTTCCTAAAGGAGAATCTGCACTGCTGGCCAGATCCTGCCCTGATTTACACCAAGGGAGGCTGCCTGCTCCCAGCCCCGACTCCCATGGGGGCAGCTGGCACCCAACAGCCCGGCTCTGTCCCCTCCTGCCCGCTCGGGGCTTGGTGCCTGGCCCGGGGAACAGGCAGAGACCCTCTGTGGGCAGCGCGGCCCTGCGCCCCTGAGGGAAGCGACGTGCAGGGCTGGATGTCACGGGATGGAGAGAGACAAGCGGTCCCAGCGCCAACTTGCTCTGCAGGTTTGGCACGGGCTGGAGGGACTGGACTGGCTCCTCCAACACAACCCAACCATCCGGGAGAAGGAAGGTGACGAGAGGAGAGAGACACCCAGACCCAGGCCCCGGAAAGCTCTGCTTGCCTGCCAGGCTGGGCTGTACCACGGAGCCTGGATGCACGGTGAGAGTCACCGTTCGGCTTGTGCTCTGTGCCAGCTCCCAGCACCCGCTGGCAGCCCCGGACCCACACCGGCCCGGCCGGGACATGGCTCCCGCACCCAGCACCAACCCTCCCTGCCTCGCAGGCTGGCGAGAGGGGAGACCACCGGGCTGGGGAGGGGTCCTGGGCCTGCCCAGCCCTGGCCCGAGCCCTCCGCAGCAGGAGAGCACCAGGATGGCTGGTGTCGCCTGCCGGGGGGAGGCTGGAGAGGCTGAGAGCCCCCTCCCCAACGCCTCCCGCGCCGGGAGATGGGGGATGCCCGCGCCCCTTCTCCCGCAGCCCCCGGGGTATCCCGACCCGGATCAGCGCTGGCTGAGCTGAGCGCCGCGCTGCCGGTGCGATGCCCCCAGCCATCTTGCCACCTCCCCCCGGCTCGCCCCCAGCACCCGCTCGCCGGCGATGGATGGGTCCCCGGGCGACACGTCCCGTCCCGTCCCGCCCCGTCCCGTCCCCCCGGGCCCTGTCCCGCACTGCCCCGGCGCTCCGTCGG